AAGATTCTCAGAACAGCAAGCTATTTTCCCTAAATACAGGGCACAGAGTTTGTAGCCAGGGAACCCCAGCAGGATCATGGGAGATTCAATTTACTGATAATATCCTCTACTCTAGAAGTCAGAACAGGCTGCCACCTAATTCAGGGAGCCACTATGCAGACAAATGAGAGGCAACAGGCTTGCCTCAGAGCGGGGACTTTCAGGAGCCAAGAAATTCTCCTTTCTCCCAAATTCCATCAGAAGCATGGCAAAGGATGGGTCTGTCTTCCTCCTTGGTCACTTTTCCTGCTCATTGTCCCTCGACTTGTGGTACCCTCCTGTGCCAGGTGTACCAGGCCTTCGTGGAGTGTTTCTAATTGGACTCCTAAGGCCTCCTAGGGCTACCCATGAGCCCTGGAGGTCACAGATGTTTACACTCAGTGATATAATGCAGACAGTCTAGGAACCAGGCCTCTGGGTTTTGGCACCAGCTTTGACAATGATTTGTTGCGTGCTCTTGTACTTAATTATCCATTTCTCCACCTTGGCTTGAACACTCACCTCAGAGTGCTTTCAGAAAACCATGGCCTGAAATGCAAATCCAGTCCACCATTCATTTTTTTACATAACATTTTCCCAGAACTCAGATACATCTATTCATTTACATATTGTCTATGGCAGCTTTCATGGTACAGTGTTAGAGTTGAGTAATGATAGTCCAACAAAGACTTTAAGGGCCACTAAAACAAAAATATTTTCTGCCTCACCTGCTATAGAAAAATGTTGACCTGATCCACAAATTGAAATGAACCAAAGCCACATGTGCTAACACACATTTTGTAAATCTGTATGGGGAGAGAGACCCTATCATTTATCATCCAAACCAGGGCTCATGATGAAATAGATGCTTTCAGCAATTTCGCCACGAGGAGGAAATCCAGGCTGTCTCAGGAAAACCAGGATGGAGAGCTCTTACCTATAGAATACCATCTCTATGTTAAGATGTGCACATGAGCAAAAGAAGTATTAGGTCAAACTTAGACTGGAGACAACAGATTACGTGTCAGTACACAGATTTCTCTCTGACTGCTCATAACCCCCACTGGGCTGTCTGCGCCTTCTGAAAGGGGATGCTCCCTGTAGCTTCTCCAAATTGTTGTGAGCCCAACCATATCATCCTTCACCACAGGGTATCTCAGAAATCAGTTGTTCTGTTTGTGGATCTCCCCAAAACATGCAGACAACAGCCTGTTCCTACATGTAGTGATGCAGGAAGACAGTAGAGGGGGATACTCTGAACAAAATTCTAAAAGCCCAAATGCTCTGGAACAAATCGTTTCACATAGTTACATAATTCGGTGGTAAACTTGAACCGAGTTATTCTGATGCTATTTACAGTCTTAATTCATCCTAGTTATTGTGCGTGTGTGTAGGCTTTGCTGTAGGGATATTAGTTCAGTACTCTTGACTATGGGGTGCTGCCTCAGAGCTTACTGGGGTGTTATGAAGCACGTGGTATATGCAAATAATTTGCCTTTTAAAATTCCAAACATTGTGAATTTTGAAGTATGTCTAACACTACAAGCTTCAGATAAAGAGTTATGGACCTGGTACTAATCTAGAAAACATGTATTGCACACAGGGGAAAGAGACAAATGTAGCCAAAGATATATTATAATGGTACCTCAGTTCATAATCTCAGTTCTCTCCATGATTCTGGTAGCAAACTGAACAGAACGAGAGACTTCACAAGACCCAAAGGAACACAGGCTGCACCGACCTCCTCAAGGCCTGGCTTTGTCCAGCTCGCTGCTGCATTCTCACAGCTGGCACTTGTCCGGCTCAGACAGGATGCCCTCACTAAATTATTAACAAATGGGTGAGTAAATGGGGTGAGTGAGTCATGGTCTGTGAAAACACGCACATGGCCACTGCCATCTTCATGAAACTTAAAATGAGTTCTCTCAAGGATTTGCTTTCTCTTTTCCTCTTTTCTTCTCTCCTCTACTTCTTCTTGTCCTTCTGTTCTCCTTCTAACTTGCCTTACTTCCTGCCTCTCTTTCTTGACCAAGGAAAGGCAGAGCAGAGAATGGAAAGAAGTGTGGCCCCAGCATGGCTATTTAGGACCCGCTCAAACAGCCCGGGAGTCATGGGGAAACGAGCACTGTTTGAGAGCCTCTGCTCCAGATAAACCATCCTGCAAGCCACTCCTCTAAGACTCTAACAAGGAATTCCAAAGTATAAATCCCACACCAAAAATAAGCAGGTCCACAGCTGGCAGTTTAGCTCAGCGGCACAAGCACCTGCCTGGCAACCACAAGGTCATGAGTTCGATCCCCAGTACAAAAAACAAAACAAACAAACAAATAAGTTCCATATCCAGAGACCACAGGAGACAGCTACAAGATACGATGGGAGCATGAGAATCAATGGAATCAGCTCAGCATAAAGCCAGGAGCCTTCCAGGAGTCAGCTTTGAAGTCATGGCTTCATCCATGCCCCAGGGGTGCTGGTGGGGCCAACACTTTCAAGAATTCCACTAGAGGAAGCTCTGTAGAAAAGTAGTTAAGAGCCTGTCCCTGCTGCCTACTGCAGAAAGCCACAAAGCACACAAAGTTATTAAAATGCGGCCAGTGAGACTAGGAAACTGATTTTTTCCATTTTACTCCATTTTAATTACTCCAAATTCAAATTTAAAAACAGATAATCCAGCTATTGGAAAATCTTTAAATAGCAGAAAATAGGTACATGAATCCACTTCTGCAACTGTGTATTATATGAAATCTAAATATAGGCCAGTATTTCCAGTGAAAATGTAGCATTTGAACTGAGATTTGCTACAAGTGTAAAATATACACTGGATTTTAAAAATATGTAAAGAGTGCAAAATATTTCATTAATAACTGATTACATGTTGGAAGTGATAGCATTTTGGACACACTGGTTAAGTAAAATACTATAAAATTAATTTTATTAGTTTTTTGTGCCTTTTTAATATCACTTCATAAGTTAGACATGGCTCACATTGTATTTATGTTAGATTCTACTAGTTTGAGTGTAGAACCAAACATAATAAGGGGCTCTACCTCCATGTGAGCTGGCTTCCAAGCTACAGTTTCACTATCCATAAAATGGCCATAATAGTACTGCCTCAAAGAATCTTTCTAAAGATTAAGTGAATGTACATAGACTATTTTTTATTGTGCCTGGAACATTATAAACACTAAACAAATGGTATGAATAATCATCACCCTAGCTTCACTGTTGTTACCATCATCATCTCTCCCCCACTTCCTAAAGTAACTCAGGAAATGTGCAACAAAAGACAATGAAGTTATTCTAAAAAAACAAATTGGAAGCAATTACAGAAGAAATGGAAATAGATATGGTCAAGATCTAGGTTAAGTACTGAAGGTAAGGGGTATTAAAATGTGATTTCTAGTTGTCAATGCAAAGGAAAAAATAAAGCATAATTATCTCATTGTTGTAAGCCCAAGTCAATAAATGATTTTGTTAGACAAATTATTACACAATGCAAGAGGACTGTACCCTGAATATAGGACTGGAGGACATCTAAATATCCACAACCACTGATCTGACCCCTTTCAGGTCTACTTTCTGTTTCAGACAATAGAGAAGTTTGGCCAAAAGGCAGATCTATGAAACTTTCATACTTAAAACCTTTCACAGTGGGAAGAGCAATTAACTGTGCGGGTTCTTTCTGGGCTAACAAAAGGGGTCCAAAAACGATTTATGGTGATGGTTGAATGACCTAGTAAATGCACTATACAAATCACTGTATTCAACCATTTGTGGTGGTACACAGCTATAATCCCAGCACTCTGGAAGGCTGAGGCAGCAGGACTGCAAGTCTGAGTCCCACATAGAAAACTTAGCGAGACCACGTCTCAAAAAAATACAAAGAAAGAACTAAGGATGTAGCTCAGTGTGAAGGCCCTGGGTTCAACCCCTGGTACTAAAAACAATCACTGTTTGCACAATTAAAATAGATGGATTCGTGTAAGTTTTACCTTAATAGTGTTGCTTTAAAAACAACAGAAAGGTCAATCAATGGTGATCACAACTGAGGGTACATTTGTGCACCTCAGCAGTCTCAATCTAAAAAGACCCAGAGCTGTGCCCCTCCAAGCCTGCTCCGTGCACTAAAACCAATGTGGAGACCATGTGTTACCAGTATACAGGGAGACAAGCAGGGAAAGTGAAAGACACTTAGAAACATACTGCTATTTGACACTGCCATGCTGCTTTTAAATTGTAATTTATAAAGATATTCGTCCTCAGTGAGTTAGGGGGCAGGTAGTCCTCGCCTGTAGAGTAGCACTGCTTTTGAGTAGAAAAGGGGTTGTATCTCATTAGAGTGATATAGGAAGCCCCAGTAATATACTTGCTTTGGAGGCTCATCTCCCTGTATATTCCCTTTACCATGTACCCTCGAAGGACAGAGTTTTCAAACTGTCCCATAATTCCTCCCTCACTCCTCCAGCCTGTCACATGTGTGGTGACTACTCAAATGCCTTTCCTTCCTTTGCCCATCATAATTTATTCACTCTTCAGGATCAGCTCAAACCTTCAGGTCTTAGAAGCCATCCTAATTACCTTCCCTACAAATCGGCCCTTCTCAGGGGTAGTCATTGACTAGTTAGTTCGTCTCTCTAAACCTCAGTCATTTCAGTCGCCCCCCACAATCAAGTTGTTGTAGGCACTTAGTTTATAAAAAGTTTCCAGGTCTATTTCTTTCAGCTCTCTTGGGACCATGTGCATCACGCTGTGCCATAACTGTTTATTTACATCAGTCTCCTCCTCCAGACTATGACCTCCATAGACACAGAGGCTGTGTTGGGTCATTTCTACACCTGCATGGCCAAATTGGAAAAGAAGCCCATGAACACAGGAGTTAATAAGCAAGTCCATTTCAGACCTCACCACTGTAGGAAGAGCAAGGGGTATACAGATATATGGATATTACTTTTCAAATACCAAATCTTGGTAAAATGGCCTACCTGATAGTAATGTGGCCAGAAGGTGCTAATCGCAAGTTCTGCCTTCACCCAGCCCTCGGTGACTACCCCAGACACGTTCCAGACAGGGTTCCCCTGGGGTCCTCCATTGACCTTCACGTAGACATTCAAGGCTCCCGGGCTGGAGCGGTCCCGACTGGAGAAATAGTAATGGAAGTCGATGCAGTGGGTGTCGTTCTCCTTCAAGGTGGGCAGAAGAAGGTGGGCCTTCTGGCCAGAGGCCCTCCCAGAGCTGTTCACCATCATGAAGGATCCTGGAGTCCCACAGTGAGGGTGGGAGGTAGAGACAGGAGAGAGAAAGAAAATCTTTCTGAAAATCAGTCACATCGACAAACATGGCAACGAGAGGGATGGCTGGAAATAAAATGACCCTAAGAGGGAGGATCTGATTGACCTTGAGACAACTACATGACCTCACTAAATGTGGGGAGCTTCTGCTATAATTGGGACAAAAATATCCCTGTTCAACATTTCAGTTTAAGATTTAAGACCTGACGGCATGTAGGAAATATTTTTACAAGATAGACAGGCTATAAACACATACTGAGAAAACATTACAGCCAGTGGCTCCTGAAGGAGGCATGAAATAAATCCCAGAAAGTTAGTTAACTGCAACCTCTGCAGGTGAAACGAGATGAAAATAGATTATGCAAGCTTGAACAGTTTCAGTGGAGGCAGAACCTCTACAATATGAGAGGTGGTATTGTTTCAAAAAAGTCCATCTGGAATCCTGCATTTAGGACAGTGAATTGCTGTTAAATCAGAGCATATGAAAGTAACGTATACTTAAGTAAAAAGTATAAAAACCTACTGGGAGATATTCAAGAGGAATGGGACGTAAGAATTCCTAGGCATTGATAGTGTGCTAGTGTTGATGTTAGGTATACTGTTTATGTATTTTTAAACTTACTCTTCAGATGACCCTGAGAGATAGTGGATAATTATTTTACTTAAAGATTAAATGACTTTGTTTGTGCTTCTTGGTCAGAGAGGGAGGGATCCCTCTGTAATTTTTCTCTGTAATTTTAACATTCATGCTACTATTATTATTTGCAGAAAACATAATTACAATATCAAAGCACTAAACCGGTTAATTCATAGGGAAAAATGAGTCTCTTTTCCTCTGACAGATTAAATGATTGGTTCCAAATCCTTGGATACTGGCCTGGATCCAAGTGTTCTGCCATTGACTCTGTAGCTCCTCCTAGTAGAAGCAGAGGATTCGTCTTCATCTCTTGTCTTTGGGCGTCACAGTTTGATTTGCTTTGGTCAGTAGTAACTTAATAGGATTCTAGCAGAGGTTTAAAAGGTACTTGCCTGCCTTGACTTGATCTCTTGTACAACTCCCAACTTTCATAAGAAGAATGTGCCTCAGATAGTTATTGCCCCTTTCATCCTGGGATTAACAATAAACACTCATGGAGGAGACCTGAGCTCAACAGAGAAGAGCCACGCTCGGCCACTCTGGCAGTGGGAAGCACAACCACATGACCAAAAGCTCAGCCTAGACCAAACGACCCTGTATCTAATATACAGGTCCTTGACTATCAAAATAAATGCTCTGGCACTGATTTCCTCTTGGACTGTTATGCATAACACTGCCACAAATGTGCTACAAACTTTATAACAGATGTAGCTGTTGCAAAAATGGGACTGACTACCCAAAAACAAAAAGAGCTCTTGCACCACCACGGTGGTTAGACACAGCCTGGACAAACTAAGGAGATGTTACAGGGAATTTCACAATCAACTAGAAGGCCTGAACTCTAGGGCTTAAAGTATTATGATTCTATTGAATAAACTGCATCATAAAACAAGAGAGCTAAACTTGAATCACTCTAGGGTGGATGTTTTGCCTAGAAAACTACTGTTGCTTTGAAATTTCATTTTAACCATTAAAATCTTCATTCAGAATGAAACCATAAAATTACTTATCCCTAGGCAAAGTGACCCTCTTTAATTAGTCACCTAATTCTTTCACCCTAAAACCAGAACTAACAGATGCCACTTAATAAGTGCCCGGTAATTTATATTTGTTGGGTTTTAGAAGGTATCAATCATTCACATCCGATCTCCTCTGAGTTCCAAGTGAATTTATGAACAGACACAGGGAAGCAAATGAGCTTAAAACCTCCATATTATTACAGGAAATATTACTGAATTACAGGAAATATCTTAGAGACTTGAAGCCAAATTAACTTTCCTATAACCCCCCACATAAATAGTAGAGAATCAATTGGGTAGACTGGACCCCACCTGAATCCTGTCCAGATTCCTAGAATGATAACTGTTCCACTGGGATAACTACTGAGAACAGTTGGGCAAGCTTGCACCAGAAAGAAATTAATAAGAAGCAAGATGACAAAGAGTAAAGAACCCTAAAACAAATACCTTTGTATTTTGATCATTCAACTAATTATAAATTCACCGACCACTGGATGTAAAATAACTGCTTTTAAAAGAAGGAAGTATCTTACTTTGTGATCTGGCTATAACTTAGGCTAAGTGGAGAGGTTAGACATGCTATCTAATCACCATAACCTCACACCTGGGCAGTGAAGAAAAAACTACCAAAGGGTAGACTGAGGCTCAGAGATGTGACTGAGCCCTCATCCGGGCCATGTCTGGCTGCTGTCCTATAGCTTACAGGGGTCCAGGTTTCCTTGGATGGATGACTAATGAGCCATAAGCCCCACAATGGTGGTTGGATGTGCCTGTCCCTGAGCAGTGGTGCATCTCCCATCGGAAGACAGAGGAGGCAGCCTGAGAAGAAAGGAGTGTCCGGCTCTCTCCATTCCAGATCCCACGAGGCCCTCGCGCACACTTCAGCTCCTGTCACTGCCACTTTGCATCAGGGGCAAATATATTCCAGATTTCTCACAATCCACAACATTGAAGTGGGAGAGTTTTCCTCCCACCAGCTCATGTCCCCACTTCTCTCCACTCTAACTTCAACAGCAGTGCATGCGGATTGAGAGTCAAAATGATAAAGGAAGGGTTTATTCTGTTCTATGTGACTTCATGTACAGCCAACTGGCTCACACTCGTGAGCTACTCTTCATGCTTTGGTGGAGACATACAACTGAGTTTTAGTCAGCAGGACGTGCACAGGTTGTGTACCTATTCCAGATATGGTCAATGAAAGCACCTCCCACCAACCCATTAAAATGTGCAAATCACTGCTCCCTTCTCTTTTCCTGTCTACCTGCCAAATGTTCATGATTTCAAGAATGTGGCAGGTAGATAAATCCAAATAAAAGGATCCTGATTCCCAAATGACCATGACTATAGTACAGGAATCCACCGATTGGAAATACTTACTTGGATCTTTAAGTAAAAAAGGAATGAATAATAAACTCTTACTAGGTTATGGAGCCACTGAAAATTTTAAGCTTACTATTTCCACAACTAGCATTATCACTATTATTTTGGCACCCTGGCAGGGTCCCCATTTCCTACAATTCTCTTTATTAAAGGAGATAAGATTTGAAATGATAGTTACTAAGCACAGCTGCAAAATCCTCTAAATAGGGACATCATTAAGAACAGTAACCTTAGGCAGTAACTTGGAAGACATTTGAAATTAGAACACAATCCCAAGAGCACAGAAACGAGAAGCTGTAGAGGCCACTAGCAAAGGTATTGCCTTTGGAGAGGTAGACTGGGTCATCTGTAGCTCCCCCCACCTCTACCCCACCTACAGGGGCCTGGCCAGGTCCTCTAAAAAGGCAGTAGCCAAGTCTCTGAGTTGAGTACAGGCTGCCATTTCTGAGACTGCTCAGGAGTGAATGCTCTGCATAGCTGCAGCTCGGCGGGGCCCTCTTTGATCAACAGGTTGGGATAATTAATACCGTCCGGGGCTGTCAGTTTCCTGGAGATCAAAAATGAGCCAGTCATTATGCCAAGATCAGTCAAAAAACAAGAAAGAGGAAGACTGTAAATACATTCTTTTCCCTTTGCCTTTAAAAAAAAATCTACTAACGTGATAAGGAACATAAAACAGCATTAGTTTCCTCATAGTTATTACACATAACACTGAAAATTGTGAAATTAAACCAGGAAGTACTCTCTGGCTGACCATAAATTTTGCATTTTTTCCCCTTCGTGCATAATAATGCCTTGATAAGCACCCCATTACTGATGTGTCTGTAACACAGATCCCCTTTTCGGAGGCAAAACACTTCTCTGTAGCAGATGGTGGCTATTGTGTTTACACATGAGCACCTCAGGATTGCATTTCCTCACGTCGGCAGTAAAAAGAAAGTCCTAATTGAGTTTTTAATGGCTTTGCACATTGTTCATTAAGATTACATGAATACGCTCTGCAACTGGCAGCTGAGGGCCTGGAGCTCTGAGAACTCAAGGTGGTCCCTGCAGACAGGTGGCCCCGCCAACTTCCAGCACCAGGACCAACGCAAAGGGAACGGATGGCAACAGGGGCCAAATGCTGCCGAAAGGCAAGCAGCTGTGGTGACATGGAATGCATTCTGGGTCTTCAGTCAAGAAAGCTGAGCTTTGATCCCACTGTGTCATTCTTAGTCATGTGACTAAGTCAATAAATTCCCAAGACCTCAATGTCTTCACCTATAAAATGGGATAATGAAACCTACACATCAAATGATTAATTAATATTAAATGAAAATCAGTATTTTACTCAATAATGGCTAACTTTATAATAAAAGGCCAATAGCAAAAAACAGCAGGCCCACTGCCATTTACTGCAGCTAATGTTTATTGAGAATTCACTCTTTGCCAGTCATTAACCTAAGGATCTTTTAAAATCCCAATGAATTAATGTCATGCTAGCCCCATTTTAAAGCAAGAAATATTGAGACCCAGAGACGTTAAGTCATTTATATGAAATCACAGAGCCAAAAAGCAGCCAACTAATCAATTACAAGACCATTACTCAGTAAGCAAAAAATTTAGAGTCTAGAAGTGTATTCTCCAAATCAGTAGCTAATAGCAACTTGTACTTATTTAAAGTTAAATACAATTTTAAAAAATCATATTCCAAGAGATGCTAGCCACATTTCAAATGCCCAGAAAACACAGAGACTAACGGCCACCATTTTGGATAGTGCTGATACAGAACATTTCCATTGTCAAAGCAAGTTCTGTTGGATACTATCATTCTAGGTTCTGGAAGTAGTGTTCATTCAAGCATAACTATATCTGAGTGAGAGACAGAGATAAACTAACCCAACTTACACAGTTTTTAAATTCCAGGGGTTAGAAGTACAATGACTTGCTC